TAATTTCTTTCAGCTAAGGTTTGTAATTTTCAGTGTAAAAATATTTTTCCTTCCTGGTTAAGTTTATTTATGAATATTTTATTTGTTTTGATGCTATTGTAGATGGTTGCATTTTCTTGATTTAATTTTCAGGTTGTTTATTGTTTGTTTATTGTTTATTGTTTTAATAGAAATTAATTTTTCTTCTTTCCAATTTGTATCCCTTTAATTTATTTTTTTCTTGCTAATTTCTCTGGCTAGTATTTTAAGTACTATATTCTATAGAAGTGGTGACAGTGGCATTTTTGCATTGTTCCTGATTTTTGAAGAAATATTTTCAATTTATTACCATTCATTGTAGGCTTTTCATAGATGGCCCTTTGTGAAGGAAATTGAGGTAATTTCCTTCTGTTCCAACTTTATTGAGTATTTTCATCATGACAGGTTATTGAATTTTGTCAAACGCTCTTACTGTGTCGAATAAGGTGATTGTGTTTCTTTCCCTTTATTTTGTTAATGTGGTGTATTACACGGATTGATTTTTTTTCTGTTGAACCATCCTTGCATCCCAATAATAAGTCCCACTTGGTCATGGTGTATAATCTTGTTAATGTGGTACTGAATTTGGTTTACAAGTATTTTGTTGAGGATTTTTGCATCAATCTTCATTAGGGATATGGTTGTGTTGTTTGCTTCTCTAGTAGTGTCCTTACCTGTCTTTGATATCAGGGCAAGAGTAGCCTCATAAAATTAGTTTGGTAGTGTTTTGTCCTCTTAAATTTTTCAGAAGAATTTGAGAAAAATTGCTGTTAATTTTTTAAAGGTTTGGTAAAATGCTACAGTGAAGCCATCTGGTCTTGAGCTTTTCTTTGTTCAGAGGTTTTTGATTATTGATTCAATGTTCTTACTAGTTATAGGTCTTTTCAGACTTTTTATTTCTTTAAGATTCAGTCTTGGTAGGTTGTATGTATCTAAAAATTTATCCATTTCTTCTAGGCTATCCAGTTTGTTGGAGTATAATTTTTACAGCAGTCTCTTATGATCTTTTTCAGTTCTGTGTCATCAGTTGTAATGTCTCCTCTTGCATTTCTGAGTTTTGTTATTTGTGACTTCACTCTTGATTTTCTAGTTAATCTAGTTAAGGGTTTGTCAATTTTGTTTGGTCCTTTCAAAAAACAAACTCTTAGTTTGATTGATATATCCTATTTTTTTCTATTATCTATTTTATGTATCTCAGCTCTAGTCTATTTTTTCTTTCCCTTTGCTAGCTATGGGCTTATTCGTTCTTTTTTAATTCCTGCAGTGAACCTTTTTTAAACTTTAAAAAAAAATTTATAATAAGTTTAGTTTTCAGAAAATACAAATATCTCCCATACCATCACCCCACAGACATGTACATTTCTCCTATTACTATGTTACATTAGTGGGCTATAGTTGTTGCAAATAGAAATCAATATTGATATATTATTGTTAACTTAATTTTATGTTAGGGTTTCCTCTTTGTACTGTGCAGTTCTATGGGATTTGTCTAATGCATAGTGTCATGGATTATCCATGACAGTATTATACAGAATAGTTTTGCTGCTCTAAAAATCCTCTGTGCTCCATCTACTCCATCTATTCATCCTTCCCTCCCACCCTCATCCCCTGGAATCCTGACTACCACTGGCTTTTCTTTTCATTATCTCAAATATTTCTAATTTTTTTTTTTTGTTGCAAACATTCAAAATCCTCTCTTCTAGTTAACTAAAATGATATAATACTATTGTTGTTAATTGCTAAAGGAATTAGTTTTGGGTGTTTTATTTATTTATTTATTTATTGCTGGCCTATATGGGGATTGAACCTCAGACCTTAGTATTATCAGTACCACACTCTAAGCAACTGGGGCTACCAAGCTAGCCCTTTTTTTTTTTTTTTTTTTTTTTGCTTTTACAGCTGGAAATTTCCCACTTGGCCCTGCTTTTTTACTACATCACATAAGTTTTGGTATGTTGTGTCATTTCCATTTCCTTTAAGATATCTTCTAATATCTTCTATGTTCATTCTTACTTGTTTATCACATTTAGACATACATTTGTTTTCTTTTGTTCCCATGCATTGGGAAGCAAATTCAGACCACTTTTACTCTCTAGGAAAAGTGAAATGGGAAAGAAATGTAGGAATATCTGGTGTTGTGAACGCTATACAGAATCATTGCACAGTCCATTTGTTTTATCATTTTCACATTCCTTTATTGAAAGTAACTTGAAGATGAAAATAAAAGAAATCCAGGGGTAGCAAAACAAATTTTCACAGTAAAGTACTACATGAATAGAGAATATGCAAAAAATTCCCAACATAATTCCAAGTGAAAAAAAATTACTCATTTCCCAGTGTTTGACAAGCTAAGAATAATAGTTTAGGCAACATTTTCCTGTATTCTCAGTGTTTGATGAAAACGATAAATCCAAAATCAAATGAAAATGTGTTAAATGGGTAAACTACCAAAGTTATTAAGTTTTGCAATATACATTTTTATAAAGAAGGCTTATCTATTATGACAACCTCTGTGCGCTTTTCACAATTTAGAGCATATTAGTTCAATGATATAAAGAGGTTAATTGAATCATGAAAATAATGAATAATAAGCTTTATTTGGTCATTTAAAAATTTTGACTCATTCCATAATCTTTATCCTTATCTAGATAGATGGATTTTCTACTAGTGTCATTTAAAGATTACCAAATGATTTGAATCCTAGGTTTCAGAGTGATGGAAAAAAGATATAACACTACTTACAGCTCACACATACAACTTCTGGGGGGTCGATCCATGTATGACCAGAAACAAAAAGCTAGAAATTGATGATTTGGGGGACACAGTGTACTATCCTCCAAATGTACTGTGGCAAGTTGTCTGATAGGTTTGAGCTTTGTGAATAAAGAAGAGTTTACATTTCGATATGTGGCTCTGCATTTGACACCAGCTAGTTATTTTCTTTTATGACAAAGAAGAGGACAAACTAGAGAATAGGTCATAATATAATTTAATTTAGTGCTAGGCAAAGGCTGATATTATGCTGCTCTTGCAGTTAGAATCACCAGAGCCATTTTCACCTGAGGAACTAGAATCCTCGTATTTTAAGTCATAAACTAAGAAGGCATTACTGACACTCCATAAGAGGGGAGTGGAAATATTAGTCATTGTTTATTATAATCTGAGCAAATATGACCATGATGAAGCAAAATACGTTGGTCATTCACGAACACTTCCCAGTAAAAGGAGAAAATCTGAGAAAATGCTTTAGTAAAAGTTACATTTACTAAATAGCTGATTGCTGACGTTGGTCTCATACCTACCGTTTAAAGAGGAGAAATGTCGAAGTCTGAGGCAACCTAACTTCTTATGAAACATAAAAAAGTAAAGCCAGAGGTCAGGATAGGAGCTGAAAGTTATTTCTCTACATGTTAATACTCAGTATTTATCCAGTTGTGCATTTAGGACAAAGATGGTTTTCTTTTATTTGATAAGAATTGACTTTAATCGGAAGTTCTGAAAAGCTTTGGGAAATTTAAACTTTAATGCAAAAATACAAAAAAGATCAAATTTTTATTTTCTAAATCACATATTCCTATTGGTGATGATATTGCTCCATGAGTACAAAAATTAGTTCTTGGGTGTGAGCAAATCTGACTTAATACAATAGTTTGTGACCCTCCCCAAAGCTCAACTCTATCCAACAAAAATCTTAATTTTTAGTGTACATTTTTCTTAGGTTGTCTCGTATATCACCTGAGAAGTAATGACGTTGAGTTCATGAAATACAGAAAATGTATGTTAGATCAGTGATACAAACTTATGGTAAATAGATTTTCGTGACTGGAGGACTTTCTCTCCATTGTTCTCTTGATCTCATAGCCTACATTGGGAGGTGTGTTCTTAGCATGTATATGTTTGGGCCACCATTAGCTGTCATGTGGATGTTGCTTATGTTTGATCTTCAGTGCTTACAAATGTGTGTGGACTTTGAGAATTAAATACAAATAGTTTATATTTTATTACTTTTCCTACTAAAGTTGTTTAATACATCAATAATTATGTTGAGTGCTGAAAAGAAAAACATGTCAACAATATCTGGAAAAATATATTCAGCTAGTAAGTTTACAAATTATTTACTCACATGAAGCAAAATGAAAAGTGAAGAACCTAAAATAAATGTTCATAAAATCATTTAATTAAAATGTTTCAGCAGTTTTGAATTATTAAGTATAGCATTACATTTTTACTTTATTATTATATTTGTATTATATTATTCTGAATTTATGTAAATTTTAATTTGCATATATAGCTTGACACATTACAAATTATAAAAAATAAATTACATTAAGATTTATGCTCCTCAAATTTAGTTACAAGGTATATATATATATTTTTTACTTATAAAGTTAAATGTTAAAAGCATTTAAATTTAACTTTTAGGGAATTTGCATATATAGCTTGACACATTACAAATTATAAAAAATAAATTACATTAAGATTTATGTTCCTCAAATTTAGTTACAAGGTATATATATTTTTTTTTACTTATAAAGTTAAATGTTAAAAGCATTTAAATTTAACTTTTAGGGTTTCTTTGTTGTTGTTCTTAACACTGCATTAAATAAAAAGAGCAAATTTTATACTGTTTCTTCTTATCTATACAGATATACATAGCCTATATAAGCAGATACATAGTATATCTGTGTTAATAAAGTGTCATGGAGTTTTCAATTAGAAAAAAATATCTAAAAAAGCTCTTGTGGTGGGGGAGAGAAGGCAATAAAAAAAAATAGTTGAGAAAAACACTTCTAAACCAATGTAGAGAGTGCATAAAGAAAGCAAAAAGAGAAGTAGAAAGGAAGACACGGGCATCCAGAAAATGGAAACTAGTGTGTTCCCTATTTAAGACACATGCACAAAGGAAGCTCTTCAGAGAACCTAGAGGTCAAGGCTCAGAGTCGCCCATCTCAGCCAGGCCAGCAGCATCTACAATGTCTTCAATGGCCTTGTCTAGTTCCTTACTGATGGCCCTGCTGCTGCTCAGCTGCCAGGCGACCTGCTCTCTGGGCTGTGATCTGCCTCAGACCCACAGCCTGGGGACCAGGAGGGCCTTGATACTCCTTGGACAAATGAGGAGAATCTCCCCTCTGTCCTGCCTGAAGGACAGAAATGACTTCAGATTCCCCCAGGAAGACTTGGATGGCCACCAGCTGCAGAAGGCCCGAGCCATCTCTGTCCTCCATGAGATCCAGCTGCACAAGGCCCGAACCATCTCTGTCCTCCATGAGATGACCCAGCAGAGCTTCAAGCTCTTCTGCACAAAGGGCTCATCGGCTGCTTGGGATGAGACCCTCTTGGACAAACTCTGCACTGGACTCTATCAGCAGCTGGACGACCTGGAAGCCTGTCTGATGCCGGAGGTGGGGGTGGAAGAGACTCCTCTGTTGAACGAGGACTTCACACTGGCCGTGAAGAGATACTTCCAAAGAATCACTCTCTACCTGAAAGAGAAGAGGCACAGCCCTTGCGCCTGGGAGGTTGTGAGAGCAGAAATCATGAGATCCTTCTCTTCATCAATAAACTTGCAAGGAAGATTAGGGAGGAGGCGATGAGACCTGGTCCGACATGGAAATGATTCTCATTGGTGAATACCCTGTATCACACTTTCATGAATTCTGCCATTTCAGAGACGCATTTCTGCAATAACCATGACATGAGTTGGATCAAATGTTCACATATTTTCAGAGTGTTGAACATCATCATGTTCGACTCTATAGCCACTAGATCCTTGTAGATAACCAATCTGATGCATCTGTTTATTTATCTATTTATTTAAATATTTATTTAATTATTTATAAGATTGAAATTATTTTTGTTTATATAATATGATGTATACCTTCACATTGTGTTTAATATAACAAAATATGTTCTTTGTATTTAGTCAATTTATTATTTTTCTTTGTTCATTAAATTTTTACTACAGAAAACTTATTATATTTGTTTATTCTTTAAAAAGAAACTCTAAGTCTGACTGTGCGGCCTGATTAAAGAATTCATGGTACAATTCATTAAGCCCTCATTATTATTTTGAAGTTATAAGTAAAAAAGAACTTTGTCTATACTACAGAAAACTTATTATATTTGTTTATTCTTTAAAAAGAAACTCTAAGTCTGACTGTGCTGCCTGATTAAAGAATTCATGGTACAATTCATTAAGCCCTCATTATTATTTTGAAGTTATAAGTAAAAAAGAACTTTGTCTAAACTAGGTTATATGTTGTTCTCATGATATTGAGGTCAGTATAACAAATACAGCTTCTACTATTTTGTATCTTTGACATTTGTAGGGAAAGAAAGCTAAAAACAACACTCGTGCTCAATATCAGTTATGTTAAATGCTTTAATGAATAGAAGGAACAACCAATAAAAATCTTTGTGCAGTAAGTAGATTAAAGCATGTCAGGAAATAAAAATAAAACCACACATATTCTCTATAAACTGACAGGTAGGCATCTATGTGAAAGTGTCCATTGCCAGTGGGATATATGAGTTTGCAATTTAGAAGTTATTCAACATGTGGAGGTTCATAACAGGCAACTGAAAGCCCACAAATGGAAGTAGTAACGTGGGGAGAGAGTACAGGGAGAAAAAGACTTCGACCCTTCCACCTTTAAAGGGAGGGGAGAGAAGAACCACAAAGGAAATGAGGTGGAATGGAAGGACAACAAGAGAGAATGGTGATAAATATGTATTTAAGAAAATAAATGTGCTGTAAAGAGGATTCAGTAGATTCACCGAAGGTGTGGATTGAAACTGCCCACTGCATCAGGAAAACAGATGGCACTGGCGACCTTAGTGAGATTAGGTTAGGTCGAATGAATAAGCAAAAACTACACTGGAGTAGGTGGAAGTGAAATAAGAAAGGAGAAGTTAGTGACTCTAAGGTGAAGAAGGAAATCTGGAAAGAATGTGGGTTATTTTTTCTGTGCATAGTTTTCTTTTTTTGCAATATGTTGTTTCTTAATAGATTTCATGTTATTGATGGACTAGAAAATCATATTAATATTTCTAATATATTTATTTTAAATCATGACATTTTTGTTACTTACAATGATAATTTAATGTTTTAATTAGCAATACTTTAATATTAGTAAGACTCAGTTTTTGTTATCTTGTTAGGCAGGAATAGATAACTAATTCAATTCTTCATCAAAATATTTAATTACTATTGACTATATAATGATTCCTGAAATTATTGGCTTTATTAATTAAGCTACTTAACATCATTGTCACACTGGTTTAGTACAGTTTGACTGTAGTTTTATAACATATTTCATTTTCTGGTAGAGCTAGATAGGATAGAAATTCTTTTATATTACTTCTTGGTAATTTTTGTGACTTTATGAAAATCACAATCCTACATGGATCCAAAACTAACCAAACTACCATGGACATAAAGACTGAGATACTTCCTTTATAAAATAAAAGTGGGAAACTGGAACAGAGAACTTCTTTCTCAGAATTTACCGTAAAGAAAAAGAAATTGGTCAAAACCATCTGTAAATACAACATGAACCACGCAGATCCAGAGAGTGAGGGAGAGTTGTGTATAATTTACCAGTAAAAGAAGACTTAACAATTATAATATAAATGCAGAGTAAAAAACTTACAAAATCACCCATAATTCACAGTAAAGAATTTTTACACTGGAATTACTTTCTTTTTGGTGCATGTGTGATATTAAGCCACCCCCTTAATCTCTTTGAGCCTGTTTTCTCATAAATAAAATTAGTTAAAAATATTTATATAGTTGTTGTGAATATTAAATGAACACATGCATTTTAAAGCACTTAGCATAGTATTTTCCATAATGTAAGGAGTTAAAATATGGTAGGTGTTTTCCTAATATTTTTGCACACAGCTGTATCTGAGGATATTATTTGTCTTTCTGTAAAATTCCTAGGAGCTGTCTCCTTCCTTTTACTAACTGACCTCTAAAGGAGGCAGCCTAAAAAACCAAAATTCTGTCTTGAATTCTTCAAAAGCTGAAAAATTGTCACTCCTCATTTCAAAGAAGTGTCCTATTTATATTCAGTCAGGCACTGGTGGCTTGTATAATACCTGAGAGAGGGTAAGAACTTTCTAGAGAGAAGTGAACAGGTGTGATGTTTATCTCCTGACCCTGGCACCTGGCGCATTCCCTCCTTCTCTCTCAGCATTCCAGGATACATTCCCACATAGCTGCCTTTAGTTCTTTTCCCAGGTGGAAATCCCCATGGGACCCTTGTCCTTCAGTCCCTTCACCTTACTGCCCCATCATGCAGAGCTGCTGTCTTTTCTGTCGTGGTTTCAGCTAAATGGCTTTTCCTAAAAAGCACAACGCCACAAGCAGAAAGATGAAGTGAAATAAACTGTCTACGTTTCGCGGGAACATCTGCAAGAGAGAATTTCCTTAATTACTGTTGAATATGACATCACAGTAGCTGTAGCTAAAAGGAAAGAGAAAGCGGAATCCTTTTTGCGTGAAGGCCACTGAAAATTCGCTCAGGGGAAGACAGCCCCCTGGTGGCCAAGTGTGGCAAAAGCCGTGACCAAGACTGGAGGGCAGGTTTCTGGTGGATGGAGAAATCCTACCATTTCCTGGTGATTTCTTTTCATGCTGCAAAAAGGCTACTTCTTGGCAATAGCAGATTCCAAAGCTGCCGTGAGCCTGTTTCCTTATCGTTTATTACAAATAGAACGAGTCCCAGGCTTCAGGCCGGGCATGGACTGCTTGGGATTGGGCAGTTGTAGAGACAGAGGACATGTAGGGACAGGTAGGACATGTATGCCCTACCTACAGCCTAATGTGAGACCAGGGCCTCCCTAGTATCACCCCCTCCACATACTACAGACTCCAGGGGGCAGGTAGAGCTGCCAATCTGGGCAGGGAACTCAATGATAATCAGAAAAATCTCATGTTTAATAGCGCGTTGAACTCTGCATAGTACAATCTTAGTTTTACAGATTCATTCCCAATATGAGACCTCAAATATTAGCAAATATAAGAATATTGTCACTTTGAATAACAATTTTGACACCTTTTCCACTCAATATTAGCACCTCTTCCTAATTGATGTCCTAACAATTTTCAAATGTTATTTTTCTTCAAGTCTTTGATGGCTATTTATGTGTTTTACAGTCAGTCATGCACCACATAAGGACTCTTTGGTCAACAAAGGACCACATATACATTGGTGGCCCCATAAGATTATAACGGCTATACCGTATAGCCTAGGTGTATAGTAGGCTATACCATCTAGGTTTGTGTAAGTACACTCGATGATGTTTGCACAACCACAAAATCACCTAACGACTCATTTTTCAGAATGTATCCCATTGTTAAGCTACACATGGCTGTATATATTTTACTTGACTTTGCTTCTCTTTTTTCTCTGGGTGAGGAAATCCAGAAATCAGGCTCCATTCCATCACCTTGCCAGGAAAGTCTCTGTAGCCATGTCATGCTTCATATGAAGAAGTTAGAAGTTTACATACATTAAAAAATAACCACCATTTTGATTGTACTTTGGCTATTTCTCATAGGTTTACTGTGTTACCCCAGGCCTCCTCTTCCTTTTTAAAAATCTAATCTTACCCTGAAATCTCCATTTCATCAAGATATTATTATTATCTATGGTATGAGATGAGATTTTACATTGATTTCTGCCTTTGTTGCCAACTAATTCCAGGATAATTTGTTGAAAACTTTTTTCTACCATATAAAATCAAATATATCTTGTCCTAAATCTACTACAAATAAAATAATTTCAATGTTTTAAAAATCTGGTTATCTAATTTTCCCCTACATCACACTGTTTTTAGTATTACTATTATAAACTCACTTTATTTTCTAGTAAAGATAGTTATGCCACGAATTCTTCTTCTATTCTTTTACACCATTACTAATGCATTCTTTCTGATTAAATTTATGTTTCATCTACAATGTACAGCATACATTTCATGACAATCACAGGCTCTTGGGGATCATAAATGACCAAATTATAATGAGTATAATAGTCTGGGACAAATTCTTCATAACATGAAAGAGTAAAACTGGATCAAGGAATTTCTCTTTTCTAATATCTAAGGTAAAAAACAGGTGAAAACCAGCAAAATATACAATAGCATATATCAATAAAAGGAAGACAAGGGAGCAAGATACGCATTTGGAGTTAAAGTATATTTTAAAATGTAACAGAATTCTAAAATATAAAACTTTTTCAGTTGAATGTAATATACAATATAGGATTCTGCATTGAATCTTGATTCTGCAGGTAATTATGTGTGATCCTGGGAAGTTCTCTTAACTTCTCTAAGCCTCAGTTTTCTCAAATGAAAATAGGGTGAAAATATTTCTAGAGTTGTTGCTGGTATAAAAATATTTTTTTAAAAAAGAATTTCCTCTGTGTTTTCTTCTTTGACCTGTGGATTATTTATTTCTTTATTTGTTTGTCTGTTTTTCCTCTTTTTTGAATTTATTTTATTTATTGAATCAAAATCGATTATACATATTTTTTGGGTTGAACATTGAGACATGCTGATTAAATCAATATTACTAGCATATATATTG